AAGCGGGGAGCCGCCTCCGCTGGGCGAAGAGAGAGTTCTCTCTCTGCGTGTGGCTCTGAACACGGCCGCCGCCGCCGCCACCACTGACAGAAATTGAAAGTGGCGGCGCGAGAGCGAAATTTACAATGGGCTACGGGCCACTGACGAGCGAGCAACTTCGGCAAACGAAGAGAGGCGGGTCGCTGATGGATCAGGAGAGGATTCTCAATCTTCACTGTCTATTATTTACAGTGGCATGTCACCGAGCGATTTTTTTTTCTATTGAAGACTTCTTCGAATTCGGTTTCGTTTTCACATTCTCGTCTGAGAGACTGAAATTTTTCCGTTAATCAATAACTAAATATAATTTTTAGAGCCATGCGAATATTCACACGTGTGTGGTTCCATGAAAACATGAATTAAAACGGCTTTCAATGATCTTTAATTTTATCATGTTCAGATCTCAGTCTTTCAGACTTTAATTCAAAGCTATCAATTACAAACCTCACATTTTTGGGTCTTATATAACGAAAAACAGGAAATGTTAACTAGAGAATTTATTTACTTATACTGTGAGAAGAAAGAGAAAAAATGAGGACCAAAGAATAACGGAGTGACACACAAGACCGAACGGAGTTCTTAGACGAATGCACACATCAATCTATGGGAAAGATGCATCCACCCAAGATGCAAGGCCGTGAAGAGAGCAGTGCCCAGCCCCTCCCGGCCGGACCTCCTCCTCAGCTCTTCTCCGCGTTGCCGGAGGCGCGTAGCGTCACGTGGTATCGTGTGGCGTGGCGCTCCTCAGAACTTGCCGGCCTGCACGTGGTACGTGACCTTGCCCGTGCTGTCGATGCTGGAGCTCGCGGAGGAGTGCACGCCCTTGCCCGAGCTGGTGCCGCTGTGCTGCACCGACGACGGCGCCGGCTCGTCCAGCGAGCCGAACCGGTTCAGCAGGTTGCCGTCACCGCCGTACCTGCAACAGCGGGGAACGAACCCAGGGTCAGGGACGCGCCCGGGCCTTCCCCGGTCGCGGCCACTGGCCCCCTTGCCCCCTCCCCCAGCCCCCGTCAGCCCAGCCGGAGGCTCCCGGCACGAGCGTTCGTAACACGAAGACGAAGAATGGATGGGTAATCTTCAGTTCCAACTCCAAAGGGTACTCCCAAAGTAAAATTCCCCATATTTTTAATGACCATCAAGAACATTTTTTCCAACAAAAGAAATACCTTATAGTAGTAATTAGTATTAAAAACATCTCTATCACAACTGCCAAACTCTACATTTAACCCTTGATAAAGATTCTTTTTTTTTTATTTTGAAGAACATTAGAAACAGAATTGAAAGACGTAAAAAATTTAATAATGCATATTCTGTAAATATTATCGTTACTTAAAAATATTACTCAAAATATTGTCTACGAAATTGATGTGGATGGTTAACTGTCAGTTCAATCGCTGAACAAACCACTCTTTCCTATATTTAAGAAAGTATGGCGAAGGTCAATGACCGGTAGAAGCTGCATTTATTCTCCACCTTGAAGTGTAGTGAATTTCTCTTACGTCACCATATCCTCTAATATGACGTAGTTAATTTTAGGCTGTGGATAATCTATCACTAAAACCTTCATTATTGTTCTATTTCTAGTATCTCAGTCCTACAGGATCACGCGAGTAACTACTGACAATTAGTACTTTGGTTTACCGAACGGTGAAATTGAATGATTAATTGTTTACACGAGACAATGCAAAACGCATTTACGTGTCTTTGTATTCGGCTTCAATTAGAAGCAAACACCCAGAGCGGGAGTAATATCTCGAGAATCTCCAGGCATAACCAATCATCGGGCCTTGCACAGAGTATTTGAATACAACTAAACGTAAGTAATCAAAATGAATAAGAAAATAAAATAAATAATAAGAATAATAAATAAACAATTTCAGAATAAATAAATTATGTTAGTATTCATTAACAACATGACATTGTTTAGAAAATGATTGGTGGTTTCTCAACTAGTAAGCACGTATTATCTTATACTTAAATTTGCGTCTGCAAACGCCCCATTATTGCACAGACTCACCAAATAAGGGACCTTGGTTGCTGCGGTCAATGCCATCTGGATGCCAAACATTTCCCTCTTTTATTTTTAAAAAAATCATTTAATTGCTGTAATTTTTCACAAATTGCAGCCTTCATAAAAAGAACATTATTCCGAACAGCGCGAGATTGACGACCAAGGCAGAGTGCCTCCTACAACCCTCAAGCGCGGCGTGAGGCGAAATATTTTGGTTTAAAACGTATGGGAAATAATGCTTTGCATACACATACATAGCATAATGCATTGGTTTTTATGTTAAACGCGGAGTCCGAAGACTGGAACCTCATCGCCAAATTCGACTTGCATAGTGGAACGTCAAAAGGGTCCTTGCAGTATTGTACTGACATAACCTGGAAACACGTTAGGGTGTTAGCTTAGACGTCATTTCGTTTTCTCTGTCTAGTGCCTCCACGTACGGCACAATAAAGAATTAGAGACAAACGTGTGCATTGAATAATAGATTGAAAGGCACTGACGTAGCGTTGGGAGTCAAAAAGTAGACCGGAAAGTACAATTAGATTATTGTACTCAAGTGTAACATTGAAGTATAATATTTGTGAATCTTATTTTAAACGTGTTTTTGTAAGGCAATTCATATCTTACGTAAGTAATGCTTCACAACGTAATTGTTTCACTCCATTTTTAAATGAACGCGATTTTCACTATTACTTAATGTAACATAGTTTTCTCTGATTAAGAAGTTCTTACTGTATGTTCAGAGAGTTTAAAATATATTAACATTCGACGAATAAAAATAAATTTAAATTTAGCATAAATGAAAAATGCTTTATAAAATCATCGATTCGGTTGGACACTATCTAAAGCAACCCTTCCCTACAAAAATTTTGGTTGCACCACTGATTTTAACAATTCGCTTAAAACGAAAAGAAATGAATAGCGTAATTAATACATTTTAATCTATTGTTTCACATACATAAACCACTTTAAACATGTGACTGCTGACATGTCAAAATCTGCGCAGACTAGGTGAAAAAATCATTCACCATATTAGAAAACTGAATCCAAAGTTTGATTCATGGTTCGTCTTGAAACAATTAAAAAACGATAATCGAAATATGAAAGCATAATATTCTTTGCGGGAACTCTCGACCAGTTTCATTTCCTTCATGAGCCACTTCGAGGTCACAGTACCAGGCAGTGCCACGCGCAGCGCTGAGCTCGCCTCCGGCAAGCGAAGATTCACGAGGCATCGGCGTGAGTGCGCTGGCAATCGGCGTGAAATGGCTGGCGATCGCGGTGACGAACGACGAGAGTTCGTCGCTTGTCTTGGCGCTGCGCGGACTCGTAAACGCGTTTTACTACGCGGGAAGCCGGTTTCACGCGAGTCGGCGCGCGACACACACGCCGCCGCGCGAGGCGCAACACACGCGTGCAACACGCGTGCAACATGCGTGCATTAGTACAGCGCTGCGGCCGAAGCTTCTGGCACGCAGGGGGCTGCAGCTGGGCCACGGTCTATTTGGTGCTCTGTCTCGTGATGCCAGAAGAACGCTATTTTATTGTTGTGAGAGATTCTAGCGTAGGAACTTTCCTCTTTTCTTGTCACTCTCCCATTCACGCAGCATTCACACACTCACTCGGTTTTCGAAGACATTGCAGTTCAAGTCACACAAATCACGTACCGGTTTTGCCATAGATCGTAGCATTTTATTTTAATATTAACTATTTATCTACTTCTCTTTCTCTCTCTCTCTCTCTCTCTCTCTCATATATATATATATATATATATATATGTGTGTGTGTGTGTGTGTGTGTGTGTGTGTGTGTGTGTGTGTGTGTGATTTTTTTTCTATACTGAGTACAAACGTTTTTATTGGAACTACAAAAAAATACATTTGGTGCTTGATGTCGTGATACAAGAAGAGCACTATTTTATTGTGAGAGCCTCTAATGTGAAAAAACTCCTCTTTTCTCGCAACTCTCACACTCACTCATTCATTCACACTCTCACTCTGTTTTCGATGGCTCTACAATTCCTGTCTATTGAGTTGACAACCGCATATTCGCACTACCACCCGAAACATTGAAAATCGGAAGAATGACCCGTATGGTGTTCGGCTTATCACGTGGGGACGAAAATGAGAGAGCCGTAAAAAGTATCACCCAGGTGTTGTTGAGATACACCGAACCTACCCTGTTTCGTCTTGCAGATTTGATCCCAAAGTCGCATTTCCCATTACGTTTCCGAGGTGATAATTGCGTGCATTCGCCAAAAACACTTTCGTGTTTACAAGGCAAACCTCGTCGAAAACGTATTGTAAAGGCCTTCTTTCTTCAATACATTAACTGATACATTATTTTTTTTAAATAATAAACAAGATATTTGCTTCCCTCTGAAGGGGAGTCTTTAATACACACGAATGGATTCCAATATCCCATTTTTCAATTTTTTCTTCGGCTCTCCAATTTTTTATTGAAAACTATTGATATTTACTACAGGTGCCCAAAATTTCAAAAAAACGCCACCTCTAATGACTTTTTACAAGTTGCTATCTAAACAATTTTGTTACCCATCAGTGGTACCCACACTAAACAAATGTGACCATCATCCAGCTCCGCAAAATTAAGACAACCCATTCAATAACATTGAATTGTTCTCCTCATTTCTAAATACCATAATACCCTGCAGAACTAGATAAAACACTTTCAACTATGTAAATAAGTGCACAGTTAGTAATATACTGTTTATTTTTAAATATAAAAACTACCCCAACGTAAGAAAACCTATTGTGTAACTAGAAGTTACTAGAAATAACTATAAAATAGGAATTGTTGGTTTGACAATAGTATAAAATCAGTATTTGCTTCAATTACCTCGCCAGACGTTAATACCATTGGAAACGTATCGATCACCATCAATGAAAATGTCGATCAATTATGGATCTGTTATCAATGAGTCACTCTCTCGAGACACTCTCACCTCAGGAAAGGTGAATCAGATCATTACAGATCGAGGTGTTCACTTGACGCAACCACTTTGGCCCAATCAGTGCAATTACGCCAATAACTCATCTCTTCGACGTCGAATTGCTGCTGCATAAAACAAGATACGAAAACCTCCAATATCTCTTTAGGTAGCCATTAACTATAAGGCGAATGCACAAAGGGTACGAAACTCGCCATTTCAAACATAGGAGGACAGTATGTCATACAAAAGCGTTTAGAGCCAAGACTCCAGGAATAAGAAATGGTCGGTTGTGGGAAGATCCGGTAGACGCTACAGGGCAGACAACGCTGTCGACAGTGAAGTGTGCGTAGTACCCAATCCAAAAAATTCCATATATTAATTCAAAATTATTTCACTACCGGTAGGATTAGGTTTCTGATATTTCATACCGGTATTTTTTGCCGACAACAATTATACTTGGAAATTTGATTCCTGATACAAAAATATTGCGTGTACCACGTAATATAACATTTCATTTTCCCTGATGTACTGCTCCACGTAAATGCCACAAATGGGTGGGTGCGCTGTGGGGGCGCACTGGGCAGCCGGCAAAAGTGCGTGGGCGTCACGCTGCACGAGATGCGCACGTCTCGCCTACTTTCCTCGATACCCAAGCGCACAGCCCTGAGCACGGGACGGCCACATCCCTCAAAGGCGTTTGCTGAGCAGCCTTGTAGTTCGAGTGTTAAGAAAAACACGAGTATGTGTGTGTGTGTGCATGTGTAAATGAATATGTATTGATGCGTAGTGTTTATACGCGTGAGCGTTTATACGCGTGAGCGTTTATACGCGTGAGCGTTTATACGCGTGAGCGTTTATATGCGTGAGCGTTTATATGCGTGAGCGTTTATATGCGTGAGCGTTTATATGCGTGTGTGTTTATATGTATGTGTGTACGACTGGGTAGGTGTATGCACTAGTGTGTGCATGTGTGAATGAGAAGGTCTATTTGTAAGTATACATATGTACGTATGCATGTATATATAGTATATATTTTGTATTTGTATCCATGGGTATATGCATTCGTAGATGTATGAGTATGTCTGTGAATATATGTGCGCATGGGGGATATCTTCATGGCGGGATGTCAGCTGTGTTTGTTACGCTACCTTCTCTGACACAGCTGACACGTGTACCGTAACTCGCTGCACGCTCACTTTTCACGTGAGTACGTGACGCGTGAAGTTTTGCGAGAAAAAACTCCAGCATCTAACGCGAGGGGACGTATGGATTGCACTTGCATGACTGCAAGAAGAGACGCTTCAAAAATAGTACCTCTTACGTAGTCGTGAAAGTGAGTGAAATTTCCCATAATGCCTGTGAGAAACGAATGTTTTTATAGCAGAAGGCGAGGGGAGGGATGAGGGCGGTAGTTTTTCATTTCTAGACAGCGGAATTCAAATTCCGAACCCGTCCTGTGGAATTTACGGTGGACTAATTTACTCGTGAAATTAAAATCGTGTTTAACTATGCATATAAAATAACCAATCGGGGCGGTATATCTCAAGAAATGTATCGCTCTTTCTATCCGGTTTTTCATACCGCTCCTCCCTGCTGGCCAATAATGAACTGCGACTTATCTAGCTTGGGAGGCGGTTTGTATCGATGGCTGTTTGATGTGCAATAAACCACGAATGTACTATAACATAACCTCTTCGGTTTTAAAATGATTTCTCTTATTTTCAATATTTGGTGCATTTTGGAGCTCTGTTGGATGCAATTTCATTCGTGGAATACTACTATTAAATACCACTGGTGCTTTGGAAATTTTCAGCTAAATCCCCCCTCGCTTCATGAGTGGGGTTTTTATTGACAATTTCTAAAGCACTCACAGTATTACCTGTGACAAAGTGGGAAAAGTAGGTTTTCTCAGAGGTTTCCCATTCCACGATTACTCGTCGTCATCAAATTATATAGACCGAAACATTTATCCATGCAATAGCATATTTATCCAATTATAGTTATAAGGCATTGATACTTGAAATATGTATAATGAATGTGTTTTCATTAAGCATGTAATAATCACAAAGGTTCACGAACGAAGATTCAGAACGTCACATTTAGTTTTACTGCTTTTGTGTGTGACGATAAACCAATTAGAAATAAATTAGAAAACAAATTAGATTCTTAAGACGTAGGGCAATCAGATTTGGTCACTAAAAATGTATAATTCTGAGAGGAAAGATCGTACGTATTTGCAATGATACGCATTATTTCCCCCAAAATCCTCTGGTTTAATAATATATGTCGTATCTTATGTTTTATATTGAACTCTTCTTAGATGGATTTTGCAATTTGTTCTTTCTTGTATACGTACGTATATACTGAGGAATATAGGTGCAATAGAGAAAGTTATGTAACGCAGTGTGAAATCGATATTTTAATACTCTGCATAAAAGCAATATTGTTTTACGGCTTGCAACAACACTTGGCAGTTTGATTCATCTGCGAGTAGGAAGAGCGTGATTGAAGGAACTGGCGAGTCCTTTCGACAGCTTGGCACGATTTTATTTCGAAGAACAAAAGAATTTCAGTGCTCCTCTGGAACCTACAATAATTAGACACACTATTAAAAACACTACTTCCCCAGCTCATTCGTATAAACAAGCGCCAGTTCAAAACCCCTTCCAAATCCCAAACCCCTTCCAAATATCACTCCAAAGGCCCTCATTAAGTTCCATTGGAACACCCAAACGCCCTTTCTAACGCCCCACAAACGCCCTCCCAAACTCTGACCCGCAAGCCCTTCCTTAATTCTATTTCAAAAGCCCTTCCCAATCCAGTCGCAAATGCCCTTCTAAATCTCATTCTAAAACATTCTTCCTAATCCCTCTAAAAACCTACCAAATGCCATTCCAAATCCCATTCCGAAAGCTCTTCGCACACCTACCCCAAATGCTATTCCAAATCGCACACCAAACGCCCTTTTAAACGCTCTTCGGCACTTCCTCCCAATCGCCCTTCCAAATCTCATTCCCAATCCCATTCTACTCGCTCAAACACCCATGTCTCCGGTGCGCCGTGCGCCACACCGCCCGATCGCCCACTCGCCAGGTCACTCTCTCTTCCTTCCGGAGCAGCTGCAGCTTCCGCTTTCGCAGGGGGGGGCGGGGGGGCGGGCCCCGCCCTCTGACAGTGGCGGAGGTTGCGCGGGTCCGGGGCTGGCAGAAAGAGCTGCCTCTTGATGTATGAAGGAGACCGGTTTTATACTCCTGGACAGCGAAACTGAAAGACTAGTCACGATATTTAATTTTCGTCCGAGTAGGGCAACGCTTTTCTAAACGAGATATTCTTGAATGAATTTGCAAGTGTCGTGGCTAAATGCAGGTTTGCAACGTGTTCGTAAATATGTGGCTTCAAAAGCCTAGGCTGCCGACGAATCTGAAAATCGATTAAACCACTCGACGTAAAATCAATCTTTCCCTGATCAATTTCGTCATTCTTTCATAATTTTTAAAGGCTGGTGGCCGTATGTCGCACACGCTATAATCATAAAAAAAACAATTTCCAGGTTGTACGACAAAATTAAACAAAACCCAACAATCAAAAATTATATTTTCGTACGTTTTTCAATAAGTTCTGGGATTATGAAACACTAAATCATATTCAAACCGATAATATTATCATGATACAACAATTTTTAAAATACGATATATTTATCAGAAAATTTAAAAATTATCCTGATAGACGCAACCAAACTTACAGTGTATTTCTTACACGATTTATATTCACTGTTCAAATTTAAAGTTTAAAATACATAACTTAACATATTTATCAAAAACGGACTTTATTTGCGAAAAATGAAATTATTTTACCCTTGTAAAATCAGTAACAATCTTTAGTCATACGATTTACTCATTAAGTTTTCGAGCAAATTTTCATAAAATTTAAAGTGAAATGCGAAGTAAAATGTGGCATGCTCTTGCAAGTGAACTCTCTGTTCCGATTTCATAATGCATTACTTCACATGATGGAATATTATCATACTGGAATGAATAAAGGGCGTGGTTGTATTAAATTCCTGTACAGAATATCAGTCGACACTGTATTATCACTAACATAGACACAATCACTAGACACTGTAACTGTACATGGGGGATAACATCAAGTCATGCTTAATTTAAAACAAAATAAATGCGGACCTGTAACAAATCAATTTTTTTGAAAGGAACGTGACTTTTATGGCTTTCCATTTTATAATATCTAGGTCTTGTCTCTAACAAAAGTAGGACTTTATAACTTTCATATGCAGTCGTGGTTCATCGTTACTTTAACTGATTCATTTCATTGGATAACATTTTCTATATTGGATAAAGATACTTGAGAGTAGTCGAGAACAAGTCTTGAAAGCATGCAAACGAGACCTTTCGATTTTCCAAACTGCTAATCAGAATACCAACAACACCATCTTCCACAGCCTGTTATTTAATATTATAATGAAACAAACTGATGTTTTTAACTACGAGGTGCGAAAGTTCTCCGTGGGTGTTTCCTAGCTAACCTTTCCTCCTATTCGCCCTACTGCTTCATTCTTCCTCGTTCTTCATTTTTGCACATACACACTCGTCTTGAATCGAAAGCTGCAGGACAACCTGTTTAGTCCTCCTCATTCCAAAAGCAACCGACATCTTTAAACCCACCGCCAGTGATAAATGAACGACAGAATTCAATACACACACACGCACGCACGCACGCACGCGCGCCTGCCGCCTGTGCACAATGGAGCTGAACAAATTTCCGGGTGAGTTTCGTCACCCTGGAGGAGGCCTTTCACTGCCGCCCACGATTGTCTCCCGGGGCGGAGCGATTAGAAAGGGGAGGGGTCACACTCGGCAGATGACACCGGCGCCCCCGCCCCGCCCTTTCGCCCCCGGGGCGCGCCGCGCCGCACCGCGCTCCGCCCACAAACCGGGAGAGGTGGCTCAGGGCATCAACTGATGTCACTGCAGCGACTCTTACCGGGAGGTCCTCTTAGGTGGCAGGATTTACAACACTCGCTTGTCAGCTAGGGCGAGTTCAGTCGCTGTCTGCAGGAGAATCCATGGTTTCTCCGATTAACACCAGGCGAATGCCGGAGCAGTACCCTAACAAAGGGCCATGGACAGCACGCGATCTTTACCCCTTACACACATTTACTCTAACATGCACTACACAAGCACACATGCCAGGAGACCGGTCAGGAGTTTAGAGCTTGTCCCGGCTGAGGCGGTGCCTCCCTAGATGGAGATACTTGGCCAGGGAAAACCCCGTTAGCTGACGGTAAGTTTTGCGCCGGATCTAGCCATTCAACGGAGAAAGATCACCGCCACATCCCGAGGAAAAAACATGCACTACATTTACGGGACTAATTACTTTAGCTGTTGACACGCGCGGTTTCACTAACAATCAATCAATCAGCTCGGCCGGAAACACGAACACACTTCTACGCTTCCACCCTCAAGACGAGCCACAAGAGCACTGATGTTACTTAACCCAATGGCATAACGTTCGGGATCAGGTAAAACAAGGTCTCCATTTAGGTTGAAGGTTTTGCGATTGTAATAAATAATACTTGGCACTTTCTCTGACACCTTGCATTAGTTGTGACAATTTAAGATTAAAAACAGCATCGTCCAGAACGATATGTTTCTTTCGCTTCTGTAGCTTATGTAACCCTGTTTCTAAATCGATAAATGTAAGCAATTCATTTAGGCTTTATGACAGTATTAATTTCATAAAATAAATTTAAAAAGCTGATTTTTCCACTATTTGTTATTAATCACCGACTGATGAATTCGAATATGTTAAAAACTATTTTTATTATTTAAGGTACTAACACTACTTGTGTTTAATATAGACACGTTTGTAAAGGAGGGCTCGCACTCATTTCGTAACGCTACTGCTTCAAACCATCGTTGCTCACGATCCCAGAAAAAATCTAACATTTATTCACATTTGTAACAATTTGAGCACCGCGTCTGATTCAGAACTATTTGTATAAATATGATATATTATCTCAATGGCGCCTATGCTTTCAAATTCTCTAAATGTTTTGAAATTACTCAATCGTTATTTCTTTCTTTCTAACATGAACGAAGACAAGGCAGTTATTGATTGAATTATGGTTCTAAAACAGAAACTTTCTAACATTTCTTCTACAACAGCAACAAGCTTCTTTCTAACATTTGCAATTTTTGAAAATTTATAGGATTAAACTAAAATGACACTTGTATTATTGTTAAGCGTCTTTTACTAAATTTTAAGAATAATATATAGAACAATAAGAAGCCAATTTCGAGAAAAGAACTGTTTTAAAATTGCTTATATTTCATGGAAAATAGCACGGACACTACTCATATATTCGAAAAATAGTACATGATCTCATTTCAAGACTTGTCTTGGCATTATATATATTTTTAAAGAAAAATTAAATATTGTAGTTGTTTGAAGACATCAAAACAGTTTGAACTTTTGCAATTTTCGAAAAACTAGGTATTTGAACGAATATGCGACCTGCTCCAGTCATTTGAGTATTCTTCACGGTATCCAAGGAAAAAGTTTTATCAAAACATTTGGAGTCATTTTCATTGAATTTTCATTTTCATCGAGAATTTTAAGTTATTTTATAGTCCTGGTCTGATCAAGTGGAATTAGGCCAAAATTACTCTTCCCAAGTTCTCTTGAGGTTCGCTTCGGATTTCACCATGTTTCTTTCAATCCTTCGATATCGATTAAAACAATTTAAATTTAAAAATAAAACTCACTGTTGGCGAAAAAGTGCAAATAAACGAATGTATCATCTCGGCCATGTATGAGCAGATGTGGCAATGACAGCAGATGAGCATCTCCAAAGAACGGTCGAAAAAGGCTTTCCACTGAGTTGCTGTTTTAACTGCAGGCGCCTTGTCTTATGTCTGAGCAGGGAGATTGTCACTTCATCAGAGCACACGAACACATGCGCTGCCCAATTTCACCTCTCCGTGAAATCGGGACACGGATTCAGGACCAAACGTGCCTCGTTGTTCAAATATGCTCTGTTGTCAGAGGCAGACAAAGAAAAGTTGTTTACATATCAGAATGTGAGAACGTGTGTATCGTATAGGTAGCGGTTCCACATTTTCCACAGAAACAAACGCCAACAAATGCCTTGTCACATAGTTTCGCATTCTCTTTATCGATGGGCTTTCTCGCGCGTCGAAAAGTGGTTTTCACTTTAGCTGGGCCTGCACCCGCTGGCGAAATTGCGAGCGTGGCTGTGGGGACTAGTACTCAGAAACAAATGACAGCTTCCACCCACGCCCAACTGTCCCTTCAACTCCGCAAGCGACTCGTTATGAGAGTGTATGAACAGAGATGATGTCATCCCCCACCTAATATGGCTTCGACATTCTTACCACATGCCACTCAACAGTACATTCACATATACAAGTACATTATACCTGGACGAATTTTTGAAAAACGCCTATAAGGTATTATGCAGGCCCAAATGCAATACTGTAACCACCTCAACGGTCTGTTTGTGGTCATCGATGTGGGTACAACAAGAAAACGTGCATTTCGAGGCCAAAAGACGTCAGTTTGATCGACTTTTACTTTTATTTATTTAATACCAAAAACAGTTAAAATCTGTGTATGATGTGTTATGGGGAGATGTGTATTCTGTGCACGTTTTCTAACATTCGCCATAACCCATATACAAGTTAAATTCTGAATAGAGATGAAATGTTCATTTTTTGGAAATCATTGATAACAAAAATTCGACGCAGAATAAAAGATCCAGTTCTGACCCCTGCGCCGAAATATAGACAAGGAAATATTTCAAAACCTAGTAATTCTGCCCTACTGCCTGGGAAATTCCTTCCGTCACAAGGCTAGGATTTGCAGTGT